AAATAATGCAATATGGTGCACTAGTGTAATGCTTATTGGCTTCAAAAGTTTTGTCTACTGTAAGAGGCAGTCAGGATAAGCAGCATTTCCATCTATGACAATTGGCTGCCAGATTTAATTTGCTTTAAGCATGGTACAAGAGGAGTCCACTTTTGGACTGGCACATGCAAAATTAAGAGACACAGCTGTAATTTGAGTTTCCTTTAGAAAGGCAACTGGGGTGTTTTCTTATACCCTCCTCGAGTTGATTTTGCAGGTTCCAGACATCAAGCAAAAATCTCTTATTTAATTTTATGTTATTGTTGAGTGGTTCTTATCAGTTTGTCTTTGTGGAGCAATAAGCATTACTAGCAACGATTCACATTGTAAAATGAGGCAAAGGGGGGGATAAAGGGAAATGGAGATGTGCACATAAAACTCACAGCAAGCCATTTCTCATAATATTGAAACTGGTGTTGGTAAAAGTACTCCAAAAGGTGCAGTTCACAGACCACTTCAGGCAGTGCAGCCTCCAGTGGTGTCCAAGTGATTAAACTGAACATATATGCTCAGATAAACATGTATTAGGAAACCAATATGAAGATTTCCCCTCTTGCCCTTTTATTTTACTTCCTTAGGGTTGCACTAGTTTAAAGAGTAATTTGGTCTGATCCATTAGCAAAACAAATTGTTTTGCAGTGGGGCACCAACGAACCATAATTAATCACTTCTTTGGGTTTCTATGGATTTCAATGGGAGTGAGTTGAATTCACAACTATAGGGGTGTGCAAAAAAAATTTTGGGGTATTTTTCCAGTTCAAGTATATTGGTAGTTCCTGATATTCCTAAATCCCAATAGCAGTATGAGATTTGGAAATATTCGGGAAACCCAAATTTATTTGGCCACCATTATAGCCTATGGGGACCATTCCCCATAGGCTATTATAGAGAATCAATCTGAGGGTTTCTGGGGCTCGGGGGGGGGGGGGTTTTTGAAGAAGAAGAAGATGCACCAAATTTGCAGCATAGCTGCTGGTGCCTCTCCTCAACCCCCCCAAGTTTTAAAAAGATTGGATCAGGGGGTCCAATTCTATGCCCCCCCAAAGAAGGTGCCTCCATCCTCCAGAGTTTCCAATAGAGGAGGAAAAGCATGTAAAGGGATACAGTCCCTTTAAATGCCTGAGTTCACTTGCTGAGTCCCACCACCACAGTGGCAGCATGGGCCAGCTTGGAGAACAAATTTAAATAGACCTCTTTAAATCCCTTCTCCAAGCTGGCACATGCCACAGTGGCAGCGCCCCTGATCCGTCCCTCTTCCGGGCCAAAACCTCCCGTGTGACCGGGGCCTTCGTTGACTTTATAGACAGAAGCACATGTCCATTCAGCACACTTCACTTTATACCACAACAATCTGTTAGAATGCAAGTAACTCATAAGGTGGAGGAGAAGAATGGGATGGGAATACAGGAGGCACACGGAGACCCCCTCCCATTCTCCCAATGTCCCATTTTTCCTCTGTGCCTGTGTGTAGGCAGGGAAGGGGGGGTATTCAGGAGCCTCTGTGCACATAGGTGATAAATCTGCAGCATGCCTCCCATGCCTACAGTTCTGCACACTCTTGTACCTTCTCAATTTAATTTTTGAAACATTGAAAAATGAAAATTAAAATGACAAGATTTTAAAGTGATCTTTACATGAAACTGGAGTTAGATATGTTGTGAGTATCAGATGCCTGACAGCAACTTAGGCCTCCACAATATCTCTTCAAGTTACCAAAGGGTAATATATTGGCAGACGTAAGCACTTTGTAAAGGTTCAAGGTTTTATCGGCTGAAGAAAAACTGCCCCAAGGAAAGGCTGGTCTAAATTGCCTGTTATGGGGTACAGTCTTGGGACTTTGTCTTCTAAAACCCACATATACACACACAAGATTTGCCAGCTTTTGGATGGGCTCCTACAGCCAGACTTCAGCAGCCTTTGAGCTGTGACAATCAGCTGGTGATAAATAATGATCTCCCTGCCAGAAAAACTTTCACTTAGTGATTCCTGCACATCAAACAACTTTATAAAGTGCAAGAACAAACCAAGTCAGTAGGTATTTGGCCAGCTGGCAACTTTATATAACATATGTTTAGTATTTACAATGGCTTCTGAAGGGTATGTGATACCTGATCGTTCAGAGGGATTCCTTCTGCCATTTTCTTTCTGTTCTCTTCTGGATGATAGTCATCGCCATCATAGAATTTCCATCCCAGCTAAATAGGAATCATAATTATGGATCAAATGGTGGAGTTCAACAGCAACAAAGCTCACCAAATACAAATACCAATTGGATCTCTGCATCACAAGATGAGCCACCATTTAAATGATCACATTTCTCAGAAACTTGTGCGTAATTAGGAAGAAGAAACCGCATCTAATGGATGGTGTGTCTGGGTTTTTGGTTTTTGTTTAAAGTCAAAACTGCATTTTATGTGCCTGACTCAGGGATGAGACAAAACATCATTTACAGAAACTGGCAATATTCACATGCAATAAAAACTGGGCTTTGCCTTGCAATTCTTGTGAGTACTGCTTCAGCACATGAGAAGTAGATGAGCAATGCAGTGTACTTCTGGAAGCAGGAACAGTATGGTGGGCAAACTGGCAGTGACAGCAAAACAAACCTTATGCAAATGCTGGCAGAGCAACCACAGAAGTGGTCTTTCCTGGCTGAAATGAGGATCTGGTATTGCAAATGGGCTTTGGCTCATAGCTGTTATGCTCTTAGCACTCGCTTACAGAAATGCTATACAAAAAAAGATCTATCCAACGTTTATAGTATAAACTGTACCTTATTGGCCAGATGTGAGCCCACGGTGGACCTGTAAAACATTACAGTATAAATGTATATTCTACTTTTGTAGCAAAAAAAAATTTGACATTTAAAAAGCAAGGCACTAAAGGAAAAAACACATTCCAGAAATAATTATCATACCAAACAAAATGATCAATGAAACATACATGTTGTTCAGTCTATAACTGTCAGTATCAACGTATAGAACTAGCTTGGGCTTTTATGTAACTGTCTCTTTTTGAATGGAGCATATGCAGTGACAGTTGGCTGATGGACAGTAGCCATAGCAGTAATAACAAGCAGAGTTGTCAGTGTTTCCCCCACCATCAGATCAATGGAAGGAACTGGTAAAAATCCCAGAGGAGCTTGGTGACAACAAGGCAGCTGGGGCTTTGCCCAAAGTCCACAATTAGAAATCCTTTGTAACTCAATCATATGCCAAGAGGGGCATCTGTAAGCCCCAGACTGAATAGGTTTAGTTACACGCAGGTATGGAGAAGATCTGGCTGTTGGAAGTGCTTTGCTAAATTTCTGTATTACAACCTACAAAGAGCAACTTCCTAAGCTGATTTTTTAGCGGACGAGTAGACATTTTCATTTTATGAATGATGTAAAAATACACTCTTATGATACTTGTATTGATATGAGTTTGGCTGTCTTGATTATGGGTCAGCCTCTATAATCATTCAACTAAGAGGTGGTAAGGGGAGGGCGGAGCCAAGCGGCGCATAGCGGACACATAGGAGAAGGGCTCCCGATCCCTTTCCTCCTATGACTAAAAACCACCTTTATTGATTCTACAAGCCTAAGAAAGCATACTGGAGGTAGAGCGGCATCGACCACAACCAGCAAACAAACAGTAAAGGACTTTTTTTTACCTTCAGAGCCCCTTAAGACTTTGACCCCATCCCTAAAGCAAAGCCTTAACATGGCACCAGGAAAGACATCAGATAGCCCCATGCCAACATCCCCAGCACCGGAGAAAACCCCGCTGTCACACAGAGATCTTAGAGACTTACAAGAAACCCTCATTAAAAAAAATAACACTGGTTTCACACCTTTTGAAACCGATGCAAACATCTTTGTCTGACCTAGTGAAGGAAGTAAAAGAAGCAACTAAGATGGCAGAGACTGCCTTGGAAATGGCACTTATGCTACAAGGAGATGTGAGATCTCTACAAGTAACAGAACAGGCCACGTTAAATAGAATAGCAGCTTGAAAATAAATGGAGACAGCTCAACTTAAAATTTCATGGGTTTGAGGAGGGGGCTGAAGAAAACAAAGATCTACCATTGTTCATTGCTGCTTGGTTGGCAAATATCTTGGAGCTGGAAGACGGAATTGCTCCGGCTGTTATTAAAGTGCAAAGACTGGGACCTCTTGCCACTGCAAGACGGGGCAGGCCAAGAGACATCTTGGTCCAATTTCTTTATCAAAGGACCCAGGACAAGATATTGAGAGAAGCCAGAGCAAGAGGCTCACTAAGTTTCAGAGACAGTAAAATTATTGTCCTGCTGGATTTATCACCTGAAGTACTAGAAAAAAGAAAGACACTGAAACTCATAACATCAAAATTAAACTATGCTAAAATTAGATTTAGATGGTCGCCAACTTCAGACATTCAAATCTATAAGAACGGCCTGCAATACAACACCTCAGATAACATCACAGGGAAGGCTCTTCTGAATGTTTTAGGACTGAAGCTCTCCAAGAAGGAAGAAGAAGAACTAGCAGAAACTGGACAGTATTAAACTCTGTTTTATATTCAACCATGATGCCTTAGCTTACTGATACTGGGAAATACCATCCCAGTTAATCTAAAATGACCAAATGGTAATAGTGGAGTAACCTCTAGTACTTAGACTCACTTATGTAGTCAATACTAGTTCTGCTGATATACTTATAAGAACATAAGAGACGCCAATGTTGGATCAGGCCAAAGGCCCATCAAGTCCAACACTCTGTATCACACAGTGGCCAGAAATACCAGTGCCATCAGGAGGTCCACCAGTGGGGCCAGGACATTAGAAGCCCTCCCACTGTTGACCCCCCAAGCATAAAATATGTTTTGTATTTTAATTAATTAATATACCATTAAGAAAAAAGGTATGAGGCAATACCATTTTGGATATAAATAAGGTTTGTTTATGTTAATTTGTTATGTTTTAAATATTAGTTAATTAAATATAAAGTAAAAGGTATGAATTAATACCATAAAGGGGGGGAAAGGGTAATGAAATAAGTTATGAGGTAATAACTTTCTGAATATTAAGTAAATGGCTGTAAAACTGAAATTATTGAAACACTTTACCCTTAAATGCAGAATTATGTTTTTACCTTATTTTAGTTTTTCATGATTCATTTCAATAATTTAAATATGTGAAATGACTCAATGTTATATCATATAATGGATATAACACTGCTAAAAAGTGTGAACAGAAAATAGTTTATTTAAATAGTTTTTAATTTATTATTAAGTTAATAATGAAAGTATGAAGTAATATTTTCCAGAAAAAAATGATGGATGTTAAGTCTACTTATTGCTCTCTTTTTGGGGAAAGCCTTTTAAGATATTGTAATAGTAAAAATAAGTATATAATAGGAACAATAATAACTGGATGTTGTAATTTTAATTGGAAATTTTATAAAGTAATGATTTTCTCTGTTTTATATTACAATTTATACCAAGGTTAAAAATTAATTGAAGATCAAAACTGGAAGAAATGAAGGTTATAACTCTTACAAAAGGAGGAAGGGGAAAGGTTGGTGTTTTAAAAACAAAAAGGTATTGGACAACTTAGTGAAACTCCCCTCCTAAAGGAATATAGTTTCTAGCTAGGGTGCTGGGTTGAAGGGACACTAAAGACTGGGCAAGTTAAAAGCCCAGCTTTCTAGAATCTTATCCTATTTTATATAGGGTTAAATTGTTAAGTAGTATATAGGTAGTTGTTATTATTTGTAATTTAAGATCTTGAAGAAATATTGATAGAGCAGTGGGTGCTCTAAACTTGTTGTATTAAGTGAGGAGAGTTTAAAAGTTTAGTTTTTGGTGGAAAATATTTAGATAGTTGTTTTATATTTTATTGGTTGAAGGCTGCAAGGTTAAATACTTAAGAAAGAAACTTATATATATTCTGCTCAGTTTGGTACTAAATTAAATGATTTAATGTCTCAGGGATACCATTTTGCAACTTGGAATGCTAGAGGGCTTAACAACAAAATAAAAGTGAGAAGAACTGCTAAGTTTTGGGCAAAAGAACATGCCAACATACTTTGTATACAAGAAACACATTTGAAAATAGTAGATGGTCCTGTATCAAAAACAAAGTGGTTTGCCCAACAATTCCACGCGACAGGCTCCTCAAAATCTAGGGGAGCCGCCATCTTAATATCAAAAAACGTATCCTTTCAATGTCAGCATATTAAGAAAGACCCAAGAGGGAGATATGTTTTTGTGTCTGGAACATTAGACGGCAATCCACTTACTATAGCATCGATATATGCCCCAAACGTAGATCAGACTGCTTTTCTTTACGATACTTTGCAATTACTTTTAGACTTTAAAGAAGGAGAAATTTTAATCAGAGGTGATTTTAACTACATAGTAGACCCCTTTTGGGATAAAACTCACAAGACTACCGCAAAAAGAAAGAAATATAAAAAAAAGTGAATTGGAAAAAAACTTTAATTTTTACAACTTGTGTGACATATGGCGAAATTGTAATCCTGAAATGAGACAATATACATACTATTCTCCCAGACATGACATGTATAGACGTATACACTATCTGTTGTCGTCCAAAAATTGTTAACCAAATTTCAACGGCTGATATAGGAACCTGTACATTGTCCGATCATGCTTGGATATCTTGCAAATTACAACAGCAACAAAATGATGGTAAAAGATACAAATGGAATTTAAATAAACATTTATTACAAAATGAAGAAATATGTAATGAATTAAAAGCATCAGTTAAGGAATATTTTAATTTTAATTCTAACTGCGAGGCAGCACAGTCCAACATGTGGGGCGCATTTAAGGCAGTTTTAAAGAAAAAAAAGACAAAAAGTAATTACTGACTTGCAGTCAAATATTAAAATACTGGGATTAAAACATATAAAATATGGAGGCAAGAAACATTTTAAGAAATTAAATCAAGAACGGAAAAAGTTAGAATTATTGGAAACATTTATGTTGCAAAAACAGTTAATGTTTTTAAAACAAAAATATATTTAAAACTCCAAAATCTATAAAACTGCTCAAATATAGAACAGCTCAAAAATCTTCTTCTTCATTGATCCACGCAATTAAGAACTCGGAAGGTTCTGTATTGGTGGCATCTAAAGACATAAACTCAGTTTTTTCAAAATTTTATAAACACCTTTATACATCTTCCTTTCCAAGGCAAGATAGAATACAAAAATATCTTGATTCTATTAAATACCAAAATAAATTATCTCTTGAACACAGGGAATTAGATCAAAACACTGAAGGAAATTTCAAATACTCTATCAAAAATGAAAAGTAATAAAACCCCTGGACGGGATGGCATTCCGGTCAAATCTGCGGATTGAATGTAGACACAAAAAGAATGAGGAAATGTAAGTGCTGCAGTTTTAGCTGAAGTGAAAAACAGTATAAGCTGCACACTGCAGAGGCAAGCTAAGCCTGAAATCTTTGGTCTGATGTCTGTGGTAGAGGAGAGATCTGAACTGAAAACTTTCTTGTTCACAGCTCAGTCTCTTAACCACTATATCACACTAGCTCTCTAATGATGTGATTGTAAAAGAATGATTTTACTGAGAATTTATTTCAGTTACATTGGAGAAAAAGTGCAATTTTAACTATTGCTAAAAGGAGACCATGGTTCCCACCCAGCAGTACAACTTGCAAGTATGTTGCCTAACTCCGGTTTTCTGAAGGTTCACATTTCAGCTGTGATTCACACCTCTTCCCTCTTAAGAAGGGCAACCTTTATTAAGTTTAGCATTTATGTAATTAGGGAGTTGCCCCAAAATACCAACAC